GATGGGAAATTGTTGTGCGCAGCGAAAATTTCGGCAGCACCTCCGGTGTGCTAGGTACACAACAAGAGATTAGATCACAACGGAAATCTTGTTTCACAAAGGAAACAAGAACCGAAAGCAAAATAACTCAACAAAGTAAGATATCAGCTCTTCCTCTCATCAGTTCTAGGACTAACTTGTCGAGGGAACCTACAAGCTATACAAATCACGGCAAGACAAGCTATTTTACGTGGTTCGGCAAATTACCTACGTCCACGGGGCAAGAAGGGGGGAGATCTACTATTACAGTGAGAGAATACAACTAATGTTTACAATCTCATAATTTAAACCCTCACACAAACTCTCAGATCCCTCACACAAATACTTTCTCAAATGGATGCACAAAACCTTAAAAAAGGGACTGCTCAAACTCTAAGAAGGGACGACGATTTTTCTCCCTCTGCTTGCGATTTATCACCCGCGTTTTTCCTCTGCTCGAAACCCTCTGCAGCCTCCTTGAATTATTCACCTGCCTTGCACCCCTTTGCTGATTGCACGCCGCCGAAGAAAAAAAAATCAACTGCGGTTCTCCTTTGCACACCCACCTAGGTTACAGATAACAAGCTATATATATAGCTTGGTGAAATTTGTTCGTGGGCTAGCCTATCTCTTCATGCGATTCATGGTCTCCGTTTTTTTTCTTCACGCGAAAATTGGTTCACGTGGTTTGCTTCACGTGGGTGGCCCCCACGTTCCACTTCGTTCACAATTCTCCACATCGGCGAAGTTTTTTCAAAACTGAGCCGACACCAACCAAACCAAATGTCTCACTTGTAGCGTTCAGTACGAAATGAAACGATTCACAACAACAAACTCAATCCACAACAAGTTGAGACCCAAACGAGAATGCAAACACTCTTCAAATGTCGGTATCAACTCACCAAATCGGCTGCATCATAAAGACTGCCTACGTATTCTCTTGCCCAAGGAATCAAGCATTCACGTAGTTCACCCAAATGGCCTCCAAATGCCTCAATCCACTAGAAGAGTTCGCAACACTTCTCCAACATCACGATCAAGTCTACGGCTAATAGCACATCCAATGGCCCCAAACTGAAACAATCCAAACATCTCCACCTGAGATGAACCAATGGTCATATCCAGACTCCATCTATCAGCTACACTCGAATCGATCAACCTATCATATGTATCCAAATCAACATGATTCCCAATCTGTGTCACATCAGCTGGAATCCTAAATAATGCAGTATGATCTGGAGTATGTGGAATAATCTCCACCCAACGTGGAGTAGTATCACTCTCCACCCGCTACGATGTCCTAATGATCTGATCACCACTCTCCACCTACCGAGAGTCAAACGTAACATACCTGCTCAGAACAAAGTCAGAAGCCAATACCTGATAATCAATCACGCTTCTGACTCCCAAATGTACTATCAGATAAAATCTCACATCCACGATGTGACCAAGTGCTGGGTAGCCAAACATCCGACGCAACCCAAAATCTAAAGTAGCTACACCAGATCCAAAATCTCTACATGCAGCAGTCCGCAACCTATGCATAAGATAGCCCAAACATGTCATAGCCTGCACACCGATGCTAATGCTTGACATCAAACGCCGATCCTCCTCCAGAAAGGAACAACTCCCCAAATCTGCCATCTCATCACGTCACCTCAAAGTTTCCATACCAATGAAGTATCTCTTATTACCGTGAGCTCGGCACAAACGCAAGAAAGAACGCCTACCATAAATAGAACGTCAGGTTACCTTTTTGCCAACACACTTTCACCATCTGTTGCGGGCTTCTAGGACTTCACACCAACGAGACTTGGTTGCAACTCACCAATGCCTAGAGCAATCCCTAACTACGGAAACCACATACCTATTAGCTCCCAATGATGCTCCCTTGGAAGGCCCCCGAATGCCTGAATGAACACCCCTCAGAAGACCCCTTGAATGATGGATAGAAGTGTCAAACTCCACCTCTGTCTTTTTGCTCATACCAATGGGTTCACAGGACTTCAAACTGCAGGTCAAAGCACTCATCAACAACCTATGCACGACATTACCAATCAAATAATCCAGCATCAAACAACGCCACAGTCTAGCCGAATCTGATGAAGTCGTCATCTCCCTATCAATCGCCGTGCTTCCAAGAAAATAATACAAATTGATCCTTCTGACGCCCTTCATCACAATCATAGACCCCAATGTGACCTTCAAACGTGCATTCACCAAGGTCACTCTATAGCTTGCTGCTTCTAAAGCTCCAAGTGAAATGATGTTTATCTTTAATTGTGGAACGAACCTCACATCATCCACCTCTCGTATCACCTCGTCACTCATCCTAATCCGAACAATACCAATACCACCAATAGAGTATGCATGTCCATTACCCATGAGCACAACATCCTCTTTTTCCAACTTCTGAAAGCTGGAGAACCAATCCCTCCTCGGGCAAACGTGATAAGAAGCACCCGAATCCAACATCCACTCTGTTGAGTTGGCAACACAAACTGACGGTAGTGCAGACAACGAATAGCCTGAAGAATCCGAATCTGAATTGTTACCACTAGTTTTGACAACATTCACCTCTAAAGCTTGTACAGCTTTTCCCTTATTCTTCTCGGCTCGATCTAACTTTGGGCATTCGGTTTTCCAATGTTCATCCTTTTTACAAAAAGCACACTGATTCCTACGAATCTCACGATGTGCACCTCTAGACTGCGACCTCCTGCTTCGGTTTGAACCACGGCCTTGAACTACTAATACATCTCCCGATGCCTTCTTGGAGGACTCATCAACACTCTTCCTCAACTCATAATTCACCAACGCTGAGGTCACCTCCTTGTAGCTAACAGTAGTTCTTCTATTAATCATAGTGAGAACAAAGGTACCATAATCATCCTCAGGCAACGAACACAAAAGTAGCATCGCCTTGTCTTCATCCTCAACCATGATATCCACATTGGCCATGTCTGAAAATAGCTTCGTGAAGTTGTTAATATGCCCCCTGATGGAAACTTTCCTCTTCATCTTGAACTGGTAAAACCTCTTCTTCAAGTGAAACTGATTCTCAATGCTCTTAGTAAGATACTTTTCATTAAGTGTTTCCCACATCTTCTTCGTCGATGTCCCGTTCATCACATTATAAATAAGATCCGGTGTCAAGCATGACCAAATAACTCCACACGCTCTACTATTCATCTTCTTCCAAACATTTTCTTCCATATTAGCAGGCTTCTCTTGCAACTCAAGAGTCTCTTCCAAGTTTTGAACGTCCAACGCATCCATCACCTGGCACCTCCACAAACCGAAATTGATCTTGCCATCAAACTTCGGAACATCAATCTTCATGTTATTGATGCTCAAACTATGTATCGTCTTCGTAAGAGACGATCCCGATGTGCTTGTTTCACCCATGTTGTAGATCTAACTCTTCAAATAAGAATTCAACAGCGAATCCTTCGAACAAGTTCCCAAGTCCAACCCGGAGCTCTGATACCACTTGTTGTGCGCAACGAAAATTTCGGCAGCACCTCCAGTGTGCCAGGTGCACAACAAGAGATTAGATCACAACGGAAATCTTGTTTCACAAAGGAAACAAGAACCGAAAGTAAAATAACTCAACAAAGTGAGATATCAGCTCTTCCTCTCATCAGTTCTAGGACTGACTTGTCGAGGGAACCTACAAACTATACAAATCACGGCAAGACAAGCTATTTTACGTGGTTCGGCAAATTGCCTACGTCCACGGGGTAAGGAGGGGGGAGATCTACTATTAGAGGGAGAGAATACAACTAGGGTTTACAATCTCACAATTTAAACCCTCACACAAACTCTCAGATCCCTTACACAAATACTCTCTCAAAGGGATGCACAAAACCCTAAAAAAGGGACTGCTCAAACTCTAAGAAGGGACGGCGATTTTTCTCCCTCTGCTTGCGCTTTATCACCCGCGTTTTTCCTCTGCTCGAAACCCTCTGCAGCCTCCTTGAATTATTCACCTGCCTTGCACCCCTCTGCTGATTGCACGCCGCCGAAGAAAAAAAAATCAACTGCGGTTCTCCTTTGCACACCCACCTAGGTTACAGATAACAAGCTATATATATAGCTTGGTGAAATCTGTTCGTGGGCTGGCCTATCTCTTCATACGATTCGTGGTCTCCGTTTTTTTTTCTTCACGCGGAAATCGGTTCACGCGGTTTGCTTCACGTGGGTGGCCCCCACGTTCCACTTCATTCACAGAAATCAGATTCTAGCTGAATAAAATTAAGAAATCGGATTCTAGCTGGATAAAAGCAAGGCGAATATAAGAGGAAAGTTAAAGATAATAATAAAACTTGTCCGGTAGTTTAGTAAGGAGACCCAAGTAAGAAAATATATTACAAAAATAACTTCGTGTGTTATTTCACCCCTTTGGATACCGTCTTGATACAAGAGTAAAGTAGCCTTTGTGTAATATTCTTTTTTTTTTCAAGAGTTCTCTTCCCCTTACTCTCCAATTTGGGGGGACAACATCTCAAGATTTCCCCCTCCATTTCCTTTACTTTCCCTTCATTGTCTACCTCAAATAAGGTTAACGTGTCCTCCACCTTTCTTTACCTCTCATTAGCCATTAGTCCCAATGCAAACAGGCGAACTGCAGCGGAATAATTGATTCTCCCGTGGCACGCATGCGGAACCAAAAAACATAAAATCTAGGGAAAACACTTTTTGGCTCGTGCTTTAACGCACGAGCTAACTCGCACATAAACAGGGGGTGGGCCCCGTGGGGCCCACCCCCTGTTTCTGTGCGAGTTGGCTCGCGCGTTAAAGCGCGAGCGAAATAGCAGTGTTGAAAATCTAGGGATGTTACCTAGTTCTTTTGCTGCTATGTCATCCATGTCGATATACCATAAAATCAAGTCCGTCTACAAAGGACCCATAATAATAACGAATTCTAAGTTTTAATTTGAATATATTATATATCCTTACTAATCATAGGGGGAAAATCAGACACAGAAAATGATTCTAAGTATTAACCTGCACATATTGCTCCGTTTACAGAAAGCAAACTCCTAATGTAACAATTATATATAGAACTCCATCCCCTCCTGTATTCAACAACTCGCACGAGGGGAGCAATAAAGCTCAAGACCACCCTGCTAAGCAAATACAGTACATTGCAGAGTGCAAATCACTGCACATAAGTTTTCATGTCAAGAGGAGAAGTTAAGTGGCTGCCCCTATCAAACAAGTAGAAATTCTAAAGTTCATCATGAGAAGCACCTCCAACCTTGGGTGGGCTACCACTGAGCTCAGAGAGGTAATTCATAGCCAAAGATGCATGAAGAGCAGCGCCATAAGGAAGAGCCTCTTCATTGATTGTGAAGTAAGGAGAATGGCCGGGGTACAACTTCCCTTTGGATTCATCGTTCATGCCAACGAAGTAGTAGCATGCCTCAGGTACCGCCTCGGTGAAGAAGGAAAAGTCTTCAGATCCCATCATAGGGAGTCTCAACCTGACGTTCTCGGTTCCAAGCATATCTACAGCAACCTTCTGAAAGTAATTGTGGAGGTTTTCACTATTTGTTGTCACAGGAAAGAATGGGTATTTTCCATTGAGGAAATCAACAGTTGCAGTGCATCGTTGCACTGATGCTTGTGAAACAATTACCTGTCGTTTCCAAACAAAATAAAAATTAATATGCTAGGCATCTTGAGAAAAGTTGCCAAAGAGACACTTTCAACTAAGGTTTCTTTATGCCAAAACAAAGACCGCCTTTTATTACAATGGGAATGCAAATAAGCCCCCTGTACTATAGCCCAATTGCGGATAAACCCACTGTAGTTATATTGTTGAAGATAGACCCCTGACTGAAAAAAAATTTACTCTTTAATGGAGGTATACTTGTATTTCTCCTTCTCTGAGGGTAAAAGAGTAATAATAGAAAAATAACTCTAGGGTCTATCTGCAGCAGTAAAACTACAGGGGTTTATCCACAATTAGGCAATAGTATAGAGGGTCTATCCATATTCCATAATTAATAACAATATAACATTATAATTGTTAAAAAGATTACATAGATCAAACTACTCAAAAATATTATCAGAACCTTATTATGAATATGCCAATGATTAATTGAATAGGAGAGCAAAAATATCAAAGAATTTGACCTGGTGACATTTGAATTTGCTACAGACTGCTGCATCTTTAGTATTGCTGCGTTAGTAAATACAGTACCTGAGACTGTCCTAGTTCAAGCTATGTTGAAATCCCGAGAAGCCAGTTTGAGCTTATTCAATCATATCGTTTGAATGTCCCACAAGCAAAATAGTGAGGAAAAAACAATAATGATATGCCGGTCCAATTGATTGCACACATAGTTAGTAATTGTAAATAACTAAATATAACAGATGACACGAGACCAAGCTAGGATACTCTAATAAGAAACTGGATGCAAAGTCTCTATATCGATTTTGGTAAGAAGCAGTAGACATACATCATTTATAAAATGAACTATAGTTTGCGTTGTCTTCTAACCAGATCTGACTTGCTTGATAGACCGATTTGCATCGAAAGAATCTAGTAGGTTAAACTTGAAAACTAAGTTAAGCAGACATTATTGTGCTAAAGTCATACATTATGGACGTGGACCCAAATGTGTACTTCCCTACAGAGGAATAATAAAACACATGAACCCTCCTAGGCAGCTCAAGCATTGCCAGATAAAGCACTATGGCCAGATTATGATACCTCCTTAATTCGCTGCTTTAGTTGAGAAAAGCTTTCTTTTGAGAAGGCGCGAAAAGTGCCACCAATAGTAATAGAGTCAGGAATAACATTGAATGCACCGCCTCCTTGAAATTTAGCTACTGTTACCACCTGCACTTGTAATTAAACAGGTTCAAATAGGAAGACAAAAAGTTCAATCAAGCTATACTTGAAACATGAAACTATTAAGCCATAGAAAATCACAATACAGGACTCGCTAAGCACCAATGCAGAAGAGGGTTTTAGAGACTCTTTAGAGTGTTTCGAAAAACTGTAGATTGCATCAGTTCACGGTACCTCAGAGAAATACATGTCACGCTGAGAGTACAATTGTATGCAAGTAGTTGAAGTCAGAACATTCTAACAGCAAGAAAATAGAGATCTACCCTATGCTTGTTTCTAGATATAGATAATTGTGTAAGTTACTAAAGAGCCATTGGGTATTATTTTTAGGATCATTTAAGTGCTGGATAATATCAGTGCTTTTTTGTAAGTTGATGAACTGTTGACATTTATGTTTCTAGGATTCTGCGGCTAAGTTGATTGAACTACTTGCATCTATTCTGTGTGTTTGATTGAGAATTTTGTTTCTCTTAAAAAGGTATCAGAATTATGTTTGAGAATTTTGTTTCTCTTAAAAAGGTATCAGACTTATCTTCTTTAGAACTTAAACGAATATGTATTGTTTATTTATTGGAAATCTTTTCTTTCCATGAGCGCTTGGTGGAACATTTCTTTTACTAGTATGCATTTATTGTGCGTACAAACTAAATACCTGAGAGTCCAAGGGGTCAGCCTCGCGTGAAACCAGATGTTGCAAGCTTACAATCACATTGGATGCAGCTAAAATTGGATCTATTGTGTGCTGAGGAATGGCTGCATGACCTCCCTTCCCACTGATTACTGCCTCAAAGAACCCACTCCCAGCCATTATTGGCCCTGGTCTGGATGACACAACACCAAGAGGAATGTCTGTAGCAAGATGACACCCAAAAATAACATCGACGTTCTTTACAGCTCCAGCTTCAATCATTTTCTCTGCCCCGCCACCTCCTTCTTCGGCTGGTTGGAAAAGGAGTACGACGGTTCCCTTTTGCAATAAGAAGTAATACCATCGAACATATTTAGTAAAAAATGCAAGAATCACACCTAAAAATAAGTTAAACATCTTGCTAGGTCCTATGAGTGTCATTATGTATTAAAGAGATGATTGGTGAACTAAAGTGAAAATAAGTTCAGAGAGTTCTTCAATTCTCATTGAGCTTTTTGTATAAATGAAGCACTAGAGTATCAAGAACAACAATGTAGTTCTACTAAAAAAGTATGTGAAATACTAACAGTGCATTTTGCTTCTCAAGCATGTTTTCCAAGGAAGTAAAAAAATATTTTTCCAGACAAATTGTGCAAGTACAAAAAGAATTGTGCATCATTAGCGGGGAAAAGTGATCAGCTCCTGATCTTTTAACAGCAACATTAAAGGTTCTAAAAAGAAAAGAAAAGAAATTCTTGCAAATAACTAGTAAATATCATAAGCTTAATGTTATTTAAATCACAGCAAACACAGATAATTTCCAATTTGGTTAAATTTTACAGATTTTAGATCCCAATATGCATGTCAGAGCAAAGATGTTGATCACACTAAAGAGTGAAATCCAGAAATAGATGGCCTTTGATTCATACAAATTTCTGTTCAAGAAAATCAATGATTTTGTCACACCAATAAGGTCTTTAACTCTGCAAGTGCTGCCCTAAATGTGTCATTCTTATACTGCCCACTACAAGCTAGAGACAATGGAGATGAGTTGCATTAGTCGGAAAACAGCCAGCTTAAAATTAGTGAGATCTCTGAATCCCAATGAACCATACAAGTAAAATCACATCCAAGACACCACTTAAAGGTTTATAAAACTCCAGACATAGTGTTTCATACACACAGACTATTCCAAAATGCAAGTCAATGAAAGAACAATTGTTTGCCACAATCTAGATTGAGCATAGAATTGAACATGGAAGTATGGATGTAAAAAACTAGTGCGGGAATTGGCACAAGATACATTACATGAGACTTGTTCTCATATCTTAGATATCTATATTATGAAGTTCTATGAGCATAGAATCCCTGAATCAGAGGATTCTTAATTGATACTGAATCATAGAAAAACTAAAACGGCTTACTGTTTTCTGCCAGACTCACAAGAGGGTATCAATGCCCTTTCATATAGCGTACTTTCTCCTATATCATGATGTAATCCCCTAAACCTCCAACACCATATTATACTTTCCTTACTTTTATCTTCATCTATAAATTGGCTAAGCCCCTTATTTCCTCAAGAGAAAAGAAAAAAGAAGAAGAAGAAGAAGAAGAGAAAGAGGCCCCTTTCACCATAGATATTTGTTTTTGCTTAACAAGAATCGTAAAGCTCCTTGACTCCTTGCTTACTTATAACTCTCCTAAAAAAATAACTTTCAATAATAAGGAGTTCATTTCACAAAGATATATTTAATTGAATGAAAAGTCAAAACGCTCACTTTGAACCTATAGAGCCCAGATACAGTGTATCCCATAACATCATATTATCTCCAACACAATAATTTACCTTATCTCAACTTTCTTAGACACAGTTTCTCTAGGGAATATTGCCTTATTTTAAGTAGGGGCTTTTTTGATAAAGACCAATGAAATCTGATCCCCAACTTCTACAATTTATTTACAGTAGGGGCTTGTAAATACTTAAATGATTCTGGGTCTAGTCTCCAAAAAAAGAGAAGTAGACAGTCAAAATCTTAAGAAGTGGAGTGCTAATTATATCAAATACAGCTAATTGGAGTTCTTATATCAGAAAATCTAAGGGGGTTTTTAAGCACGGGATAATGAGAAAGATTAAATAACAAACCTTCAGCTCATCACGATGCTCCTGAAGGATCTTAGCAGCACCTAGCAGCATAGTAACATGTCCGTCATGACCGCAGGCATGCATTTTCCCGGGGACTTTACTTTTGTGCTCCCATTCCACATTCTCCTACCATCATTAAAAATTTTTAATTTAGGAAAAATCTTGCTAAAAAACTAAAGTGAGCTAAAAAGACTGCATTTTAATGTAAAAATCAAGAAGAGGTCGCCAAGAAAACATTATAATGGCATAGACATCTATAGTGAAACAAAAATAGATTATCTAATGATGAGGAGAACTAGAAGAAAATTAACAGAAGTTGAAATTAGTAACTTTCTACCTCCTTATCACGGCAAAAATCATTAGAAACCATGATAAATTGATGAAGAAAAGAACATGGAGTTCAGCTAAGAAGTTTGACTTCGTTCCTATAACTCAAGACAAACATTATTCAAGTTGACCATAATCAAGGAAAAAAATTGTATGGTAAAACCACGATCTTACGATATTAGAAGTCTCCCTGACAACCTATGCTTAAATTTCACTACGACTTGCAAATTACATTCTCAGCCCAGCCTATCAAAAATCAAACTATGCAGACTCCCAGACAAATTAAGATTTAACAGCAGAAAGTCCTTCCATTCTGAAAAGCGCCTATCTATATGAGAACTTCTAGACATTTTGAACCCAAACTAGCTATCCCGTCTAACTCAAAAGTGTTAAAAGTGAGCATTTATTATCCTATTTCTGCCTTCAACAAGAAATATAACAAAATTACAATAAACATAGCTCGCTGACGATCAATTCCTTCAACGATAACCCCTGAACCGATTAAATAGCACCAACTTCCCCTCATTTTTAAGAAACTCTCCTGGAAAAATAAAGTATATTTCCAGTTTCACTGATTCCCTCTTTACTTAACAAGCAATTTCAAAGTAAAAATCAATTCTCTGATGAAGAAATCAACACCGAGAAACTAATCACTAACGAATCAATTTTACTAAACCCCCCCCAAAAAAAAATTTAGGAAAAATTGGTGGAAAAAGGAAACCCTAACACCTGCATCGGGAGGGCATCCATATCAGCTCTCAAAGCTACAAACGGAGCTTCTCCAGTCCCAACGTATCCTACAACACCCGTAACCGCGACCGGATGCTCATATCGAATCCCCAAAGAGTCCAATTCCTTTCTGATGAGCTTACTCGTCTCGAATTCTTCGTATCCGAGCTCAGGATTCTCGTGGATCCTCCTCCTGATTCCAACCATCCAGTCCACGAACTCCGACTCCTTCGCTCGCCGGAGAAATCCTCCGGTTACGGATTCTGATAAAGATCCGAATCCGAAAGAGTAGAGATTGAGGAGGAGGAGAATTAGAGCTGGGCACTTGGAGAGCTCCATTGATTTTAGGATTCTCTATAATTCGGGGTTTAATTTATTTAATTGGATGGAGAATACTGAGAGGAGGAGATATTTATAGGGGAGGTCGAATTGGCACGTGCGATTATGCTGCAAGGTGTTTCTGTACTATTTGTGCTTTGGCTCGATGAATTGAGGCCCACGCCGTACAAAATGTTCGTGGAGCCTTTTTCCACTCGTTTTTTCATATAGACCCCAAGATTTTAGCAATATTTGCAGAGGCTACCAAAATACATGAGAAAGGCCCCGCCGCTGCCAAATAACCTAAAGTAGAGGAATTGAGCTGAGAAAGGCATCCTTGCGTGAACCTACGGTGAGCAGTAACCGGTTTGAACGAGGGGCGAAGCGAGAAAATTTATCTAGATTAGGCGCTAAAGTTAAACATGTTTTTTAAATTAATATGTTTAATATACCTATAAACTGCAATTTTTATACCCAAAAGTTGACGAAAACGCTATCAATTGGGAGCATCAGACGGCTGATATAATGGTTTAACTGAGATGAACATTGTCAATTTAGCTTTAATATGTACTAAAGTTTAAGCTAGAATTCTGAGCATGGGGCACTACAAATGAAAGATTGTACGGTGGCACACATGATATAGGCAATCTATAAGAATGTAAGTCCAATACGAATGTAAACATTTCAAGTTTATGTTGGACATTTTGCCTAACCTGAACACGATGTGGCTCTGTCCTTGATTTGAACAGATTATACCGATCGAGGCAATCACATTTTAGTGATCCAACTAGGTTTTAAAAATATAATTTTAATGATCCTGTCTAATCTAATCCGATATTTGCTAATCTAATCCGATATTGATATCAAATTAAAAACTTATTAACTAATATCCTAGCAATATGATGTATAATGAGATATATGCAGGATAAACAATATAACACAATAGGCGATATAAATACGCACAAGATATAACAATGATAATAGTTCGCCAAGACAATCGTAAACACAAAGGAAATGATCATGGAGTTCGGTCAACCATCGACCTACGTCTTCGCTCCTCACCTCGATGAGATTCTCCACTATCTCAAATAATTACATAATCGGTTTTCATAGCTCACCGAAAACTTTTACAATACACATGTTGACAATCACACAATACGCTCCTCTAAGTGTTGGCCTACCCGTGTCACATTTCTCAAGTGTTTGGAATTACTACCTCTCACTAGGCTTTTACAACCAAGTCACACCTCTTGGAATTGACCCCGATCTCTCCCAACCACTCCTCTAAGTGTCATTGTGTATTACAACGTGTTATCACAATTAAGTACAAATAAAAAGGATTTGTTCTCTAAACAAGGATGAGAACAAATTGAAGCACATTCTCAAAGGTACACTCTCACAATCCAAGTATACTATATGTGAAATACTTAAGCTCAAGTGGTTGTGTGTGTAAGCAATGAGTATAATGAAATATAAACTCAAATCAATCTAGCATAAATATATGAGAATCAAAATATCAAATATCTAGAAGACAAGATTAAAAAAAACTTCTCTAAAACAAGCAAGAGAGAAGTAGAGATTTGATGTTGAGATCCTCAAAAATGAAGTTATGATCCTTCTCTTGTGAAACTCTCTCACATAAAACAAACACACAAAAACTTGGAATTAAACTGGCGTAAACACTCTTGAAAACCTTGTAAAAACTCTTTTTAAAAACCCAATTCTCGAGGGTTATTTGTAGCCTCTCAACAAAATCAACTAAAACTAGCCGTTACAGCCAAAAAGGCATTATCGGCCGACTGATGGTTGAGATCGGTCGACTGAAAATTATGATCGTTGGCTGAGCTGGAAAACAATGCACTATCGGTCAACTGATAACATGTGATCGGTCGACTGATTCAAAGAATAGGTCGACTGATAAGTCTGAAGAACAAATGCTAAAAATTTGTACTGGCCAGCCGACTGATGGAACACATCGATCGATTGATGAGAGGTTATCGGTCGACTAATTGCTTACAATCGGTCGACTGATAAGCTGACACTCCAGACACTGAATTTTCTAAAAAAGTTAATTTTGTAAATTCAATTTATCATAACAAAACAACTCTGTAATTAATAAAACTTAGGAAAATATTTATATATATCAAGTTAAACATGTTAGAGAAGAAATTTTTCAAATTGCATTTCCATTTGTGAAAACACAAGTAATCATATTTATCTAAAGCAATTTCTCATCATAATTAATAAAAATTTTTTCCAATAATTAATTTCTAAAACTATTTCTCATCATAATTATTATAAAATAATATATTTATGTAATACATACATATTTTTTTTTTCTTTTCTACATGAAAAGTAACATTTCCCTATTTTATAAATTACCTCTAATTTATTTCTTTTTCGATAATATTTCGTAAATTCTAATTATAACATCTAACTTGTCATTTCATGTCCGTAATTTCTTAAAAAATACAAATAACAACATTATTAATCTAATTTCCACTCGTGCGCTTGTCATTTCATACTTGTCAACTTTTAGATATAAGCTAGTATTACACATCATCATTCTAAGCAGATATTCAAATATGCACATTAACCAAAACAATGATATTAATCAAAATAATATATCTAACTAAGATAATTAACAATAAAAATTATAAAAAAATACTAATTAAGCGACGAGATCTTGCCTCGGCGTGTCGAATAAGTCGACGTCGACGGCACGGGTCAGATCGGACGCGATGGAGCATGGCGTCGGAAGAACTCCGACGAGGGGCAGCGGGTCGGGGCTGACGGCGCACGATCAAGCAGCGGTTGACTCGGTCCGGCGTCGGGGAACCACAGAGGGCTGACGGAGGGGCGACACGGTGGCACTGGGGGTTCTCGGGCTGCTAAGAGTTATGGGCCGTCGAATACGGGCTGAGTGGTCGACTGGAATCTGGCTGTCGCCAGAGCAGGGGAGACGGGAAGGGCGAGGTAAGAGGAGGTGGTCGACGGTGATTGATGCGGTTGAGGGCGCAGAGGTGGTTGGGTTCAGGTGCGGAGAGACAGATGGTCCGATCGTTTGGGTATCTGAGAGAGGGACGATGAACAATAGTGTGCGTGCGCGATAAGTGAATAAAAAGAGAGAGAGACGAGACGGGGAGTAACTATGATATAGCTAGTAAGATATGATTAAATACTATATATATAATACTAACATATGTATATAACATATACACATTATATATATACACGTATATCTACTCTCTATATATATAATATACAGTTCATAACTATACTAATAATCATATAACAAGCTACGAGACGAGAGAGGAGAGAAATATTGGTATGACTTGGTATAAGCACAAAAGTTGTGCTTGGGTAGTGAGGTGTCACAGTCTTCCTCCCTCATTCAAATGTGGGCCATATTCACATGGGTATTGATGTGGATGGGATGTACACATCAACTACAACGCAAAATTTGTTTGTACCAAGCATTACCATGAGTTTTCATTATATTATATAATTACTATATTATAATATATACGTAGCTATATTACTAAATATACCTACGATCTATATACTATATAGTAACTAAGATAAGTATATACACTAAAATATAACTACTATATAATATTAGCATACTAGGTTAGGGTTAGGTATTTAATTAAAAATAATTAAAATAAATAATTACGGGTACTTAAAAATTAAACTACTCACGGAATAATTATCTACAAATAAAAACGTACATGTTGTGCTAATACAATAGTTGATACGAAATAGCCAAAATATACACATATTGTACAATTAAACGAGAATAATTAATAAATAAAATATATTTACTTATATTTAAAATTAAATAATTATGGGATAATTATATACACAGTAAAACGTAGTGGTTATACTAATACGACAGCTGATACGTAATAATTAAAATAATATAATAATTTACACAAATAATATGTAATTAATAATACAACGTATTATACGAAATAATACATAATAATATTAATAATACGGCATATTATTTAAAGTAATACGTAATAGTATCGATAACACAACAGATTAGTTCCAGAAATTTTTACCGCACAAAATAAATTTATAAATATTAAAATCATCTAAGTAAATATAAAATTTGGACTTTTAAATCATAGAAAATGTTGAAGCGCACGAACACTCTTCACTGCAGCAGGGCTTCGCCAAGGGTCTCCAAAAATCCTCCTCCAAATCAAGGCCCAAGGGGGGCTATTTATAGGCGTGTAGAGGGCTCTAGGGGGCCTAGACACCCCTGGGGTGTCTAGGCTTTTCCTAGACACCCCCGGGGTGTTTCGACCTCCCGAGACTCCGTTTGAGGGGATTCGGTTGTTTTCCCTGTAAACTCTTCGTCCGAACTCGGATTTGAGTGATTCCAAGTGCGTTGGATGCGTGACGAAGAGTTTGATCCGCTTCGGTAGTTGGATTGTCTGTAGAGTGGTCGAGGCATGAAGGGCGTTGTCCTTTTTGTGAACAGTGTCGGGTTCCCGATTGGCCCAGGTCTTCGTTGTTCCGAAATCCTATCAGCTCACGTAGCTCGTCGATTCACTTCAGTCGTTTGTCGACGTCAATTGGACTCCTGTGGATTGGATAGTGACGTTCATCGTCATTCTTTAACACTGAACCGTTCGTGGAGACCTATAGGCAATTTTCGATGTCTACAGAAAGGTCGCCTCGGTCCCTTACCGGGGAATCGAGGTAAAGTACCTATCAAAGAGCGATTGGGTCCGTTGAAATTCTAGAAGGCCGAGAAAAATACAAATACTCTTCTAAAAATAATAATTAAATATTTAAAAATACCAGAAAATTATTTTAACTAGTATCAAATTTTACGGTCATTACAGAGCAGAATCTAAAGTTTGCCACCTTTGATGGTGATCTTCTCCATGAACTAGTCATTACAAATGATTGGTCGAGCGACTCATTTTACCTCAACATCACTCGTCTGGACATTGTTCACACTGTCAATATTCTCAACCAGCTTATGAATGAGTTGTGCTTGTTTTGGGTCTTTGAATTATAATTGACACAGATTACACATTCAGAGAATTATAATTGAAATGGGAAATTTTATATTATGAATAAAGTTTTTGGTCTAATTTTAGTATAAAGTTGGAGTCTATTTAGATTATGAAATAAATTCAATTTTGATATCATGTTGGATTGATTTGTTTCCTTCATTATAAAGAGTTTTTTTAGGGTAGGATTTCCTACCTTCTATTTCTTTGTAATCTTTGTGTATATTTTATTTTTCTATTTAAGAAGATGCATGTAACCTTAAAATTATTAGATTATTTTTATCAATAAAATTTTGCTTATTATATTGTATTCGTGGATCTGGATCGTTCTTTATGGATTCAAAGAGCACCCCTTGATGAATTCTAAAATTTATTATTTCCGCACTGCATTAACGTCATTGTATAATCGATGGAAAGATGGAAAGAGTTAAGTTTTTACGTTCACAAAAGCGTAGACTGGAACGAGCGACTCTTGAGAACGCTAATAAAGCGTCATATTCGTCTGATGATGATAATATTGTATCTGGAAAATCGTACCAACACTCTGTAGGTTGCTCCAGTTATCAAACTGATGAGTTGTACTATAGAGCTGGGGGTGCGAGTAAGTCTTGGAAGCGAAATGCACGAGACACGGAACCTCACTGTCCATGTGCCAACATCATCAGTGTGGTGTTATCAGAGTGCTATTGTTCTGAAGCCCCAAGGAGAGTTTCGGTGTTCAAGAGAATTTCCACCGGAACGTCTGAGACTAAGCCTAGGCGTTTCCAACGAAGAAGAAGGATAGTCAAAGACGGAGAATTTCCGAAGGTCACCACTAATATGGCCAGTAAAGGGGCATCGATGGGAGATAATCCCGAGTCAATTCCGCTAGTACCCTGGTATTTAACTCATCTGCAGTCCGGAACCATTACACGATGGACTTATAGTAGGGTTCGGACGAGATTACCGTAAGAAGACGAAGGATCAGATGCCGGCTCTGCAATTGCATCGGACAACACGGTATCTAGCGAGGGACAACCCCGCGAGGTACTCATGATAAGCACCGAACAAGTAACCAAGATGCTTGAAGATGCCCTGGCTAGGCAGAAAGAAAGTTTCAAGTTCGAGATGGAGATGGCCATGCAGCAAATGAGGGAGGTCTAAAGTTGTTTTGTTTTGGCCAATGAGGGAGGTGGAACAATTCTTGGTCCGGTTTAATATTAAAAATCAATGTCATTAGTAAAACTAGTTTAAGTCATGGTCTAGTTAGTTACTACTAAATCAGTTTAGTCAAGTCATACACATGTCCTCTAACATTTTATTTTTGTTTTGGATAGGTTGTTATGTTCAAATAAAAATAAGAGTTTTTTTTTTCAAGATGTTATCAGCAAATAGCATCGTCTAATATAGACGAATGAGATTATACTTGCGAACCAATATGTCCACCAAATACTAAAATTGACATTACTTCTGACTATCTATGACTAACTTTGATTAATAGATCTTAATCACCTTCTCTAATGAGAGAGAGAGAGAGAGAGAGAGAGAGAGAGATGCACAGATTAAATATGAAAAAAACATTCGAGGAAAGCAAATAATTTTGTTCTAGATAAAGAAAGGTGAGAATAAGAGGATAATGCATAAACTTTAAACCACGAATTTGAATATAGCTAATAGTTCTACGCAACTATTTAACTATATATAAAGCCTTAAGCCCTTGTCATAAGCCCTTGTTGACTTTTCTAACCTCCAATTTTATTAAACCACATATATATGCTATATCTTCTGTTCTCCCGTCTTTTTGGTTGTGCTTCAACTCCTTTTTGTTCCGTTTCCTTTTCATGTTTCGAATTCCTAGTCAGAGTTGCACTCAAGATCCCCCATTCCCTTCAAACCACCGATTCTCTGGAAAATACAAGAATATAAAATTGGAAAAACAAAGTTAGATATAGAGTTATAAATATATGCGAAAACGGGAGGTGAGCTGTCAGTGTAGGAAATTTTCTAAACGAGCGCCACACACACATATTTAAAAGCAACTAGTTCTTGTGCACGTGCAATGCACGTGATTAAGTATCACAATAAATTTTTTTTGTTTATTTTCTTACTATAAAATAAGTCAGATTCATTTTGAGTTAAAATCTATAAACATGAATTATTACATTTGCCATAAAATTTATTTAAAATTTGTAAACTTTTTAAGAAAAGATGATTAATTTTGAAAATCTCTTGGGGTCAGGAACAAACAACTAACAAGTTTGCAGTGGGGAACTTGGGGAATGTAGTACATTCTTAAGAATTATTAATTTTTACTTAGTTTGTTTATAATAATATGATCTCATTATTAACTAACTACAATACCTACTATTTTTTTGGGCCCATGTGAGTCCTTATTGCAATTAATGTTATACAATTTAAGTACAAAGGAAAAATACGAGTTGATCAATGGTGTAGTTGGTGAGGAAAAACTCTAGCAGCTTAATTTGGTATGTGGATATATTATAGATGGAGATGAAGAACGGTGGATATATTATACAGTTTTTATTTGTGTGGTTTTCTTCGTTCATTTTCAAGATATCTTTGGTCATGTGGATATATATAGCTATAGTATTGCTACTCTCTTTTGATTTTGTGAAAGAGTTTGGGTGTTAAAAAATAAATTATATAATCCGGTTAAAGTAGGATCATATAAGTTAAGTCCATACATAAAATTTATTTTAACCAACACCCATGTATAAATATTATAATTGGCATTAAGATCTAAAATATGTATGATATTCTCTTTGATTTTTATACAAACAATATCTATTTAAATGATAATTGTATAATTAAACTTTGCAATCTGAAAAAAAAAGATCAAACATACAATATAAATAATTGCTTTAAAATAATCTAATCTAATCTAATAAGAAGAAAATAGATGAAAATGATGTGAAAATTATTGTAATTTTATAATTTTTAATTTTTAAATAATCTAATCTAATAAGAAGAAAATAATAAATTGTAGGCTGTCTAAAAATCACAATAGATAGTTGATCCCCCATCAAACACCGATAATGGAAGTTACAATCTGACGACTTCCAGAAGGCTACAATTTGAGGACTTTCACATAGAAGGTTACAATCTGACGACCTTCACAACAACTAGTGAAAGCTCTAATTCAACAGCCTTCACAATCAACATCGGGAGTTACAATCTGACGACTCTCATATTTTATAACAGGCAAAGATCAATAAGCAATGGCCTTTACAATGTTATAATGGACGAGGTTATAAGCCAACAATCTCTCTCAAACGCAGAAATTCACTTCTGCGTTTTTCAAGTTCAAAACGCACACAAGTGTGCGTTCCTAAGCAGGCGTCGAACTCTGTAACGCAGAGTTAAATCACGAAACACACACGTAACGTGCGTTCTTCGACAGACTCGACTGCATCCCAAACTCTGAACGCAGAGTTGATCCTCAACGCACCAGTGACCTGTGCGTTTCCAATTTCAGAACGCATGCGGCCTGTGCGTCTCAAATCTCCAACAGAGATTTAACTCTACGTCCTAAGCCTTGGATGCAGAGTTAAAGCCCAAATGTGGCCTGTGCGCCTGTGTTGCTTGAGCTGCTGAACGCAGAGTTCAGCTCTGCGTTCTAACGCCCTAGCACAGAGAATCTGCCTGTGCGTTCAGCCACCAAGATAGGCCCAACTCTGCGTTTTTACTCTAAAAACGCAGAGTTCGGGCCCTGAATGCTATTTTTCAGCGTTTGACTCGTTTAAAGCACGCAATGAACAGTTCCAGGAACTGTTTTTCCCTCACGATTTGAGGGATTTTCGCCCCACTTAAGAGCGGATTAAGGGGGTAGTTACCACCCTTAATCCCCTATAAATACCAGAAACTCAATTGAGTTAAGGGATCGAATTTTTTCTCATCAACAAGAGGAGATTCGGTCAAAAGGCTCTTGGATCCTTCTTTTTTTTGGAGGGAGCAAAGGAGAGATCTTCGGCTAACTTTGGAGGGGAATTGTTGGAGTTTTGGAGACCAGCAACAGGAGCTTCTTCCTTGGCTTATTAACCGAACTTTCGGTTCAAATCAACTCTTTTTCAAGAGTTCAAACTCGTTCAGAGTTATCAACTCGATCAGAGTTCAAAACTTGCTCTGCAAGTTCTTCTAAAACTCGTCAGAGTTATCAACTCGATCAGAGTTCAAAACTTGCTCTGCAAGTTCTTCTAAAACTCGTTCAGAGTTATCAACTCGTCAAGAGTTATTTCAAAACTTGCCACGCAAGTTCTCCACAGCGTCAAATCGTGAGGAGAAGACATCGTTCCAGTGAATCAAGACGTTCGGATCGTCAACGAGAAGCAAACTCGACGCGAGCATTCGAGGGAGGCATCTCATCGCCACCGTGAAGAACCCAGAATTAAACAAAGGGAAGAATCAAATTCATTCTCCTCTCTTTTGTAATCGGAATCCAAATTGTAATTGATTTTGAGAGGAATACAAGTTAATTTTTCTTTCACTGTCTTTTTACTGCAAATTTTCCAACAAACAAAAGATTGCGACTCTGCTGGGGACTAGCTTCTCTGACGAAGAAGTGGTGGTGCAATCCGACGTTCATCTCACTGGAACGACCGTTGAAACTCTGATTATCGAGTTTGATCAAGCCAAGTACGAGGAGGCCCTCTCCTCCGGATCCCTTAGGCTCAGGGCTATGCGTAAGATCCACAAAGTTTCCGAGGAGACTAAAGCTCCAGTTGTAGCCACCTCATCTAAAGACTATCTCCCATGGGGGTTGCACTGTTCATACAGTCCCCTCTCTAAAGGAGAAGACTCGACTTCGGCACAACTCCAACAACGCGAACTACGCGTTTATGAGCCTCAACATGAGCTCTGCAAAAGCCCAGCTAAACGCAACTCTCAGGAGTGCGTTTCAGAACTCAAACGCAACTCTCAGGAGTGCGTTATATCATTTAAACGCAGACATCAAACCTGCGTTGATCTGGCTGAACGCAACTCTCAAGAGTGCGTCCCAGAACCAAAACGCAACTCTCAGGAGTGCGTTTCACAAACTGAACGCAACTCTCAGGAGTGCGTTTCTGAATCCGAACGCAGATCGCAGGACTGCGTTTCACTAGCAAAACGCAGACTTTGGTCTTGCGTTAATCAAGCTAAACACGACCCTCGTGTTCCTTCTTTGGAACACGATGTGATTCGTCGTGTTCAAAATGATCAACATGGATTTAAAATCCATGTTTACCAAGAACCAGTCCCATCCTTTAACGGACAGGGGGTTCCATCTTTACCCTCACGCTCCGTGAGAGGTTCATCCTAAGTCTCTGACTTGCGGGAATTGCTGTCGATGTTCAACCGACCGACGAATGTCGTTTTGCTCAATAATCGACGACATCCTCACAGGAAGAAGACTTCAGAGGATGAATACCTTGGAGTCACTTCTAACATGGTTGGTAGAGGGAGATCATCAACCTTTAGTTCTGACGAGTCACAGACAGATCATTCTCCAAGCGTCAGAGAAATCACTAATGAGTTTGAAGGAAACTACCAACGTACTCGGACTCGAACAGGAGCCATTCCTCCTATCAACTACCGGAGTTTAGCCAGAGGAACTAATTCCGATGACGAACACTCAGCCATTGCGGAGTCCCAATCATCAAGCTCTTTCGTTGGGCATGAGAGCTTCGCCCACACGGCAGAACATCCTGAAGACCTTCCAAAGAGACTTGATGAACAGGAGGCCATGCTCAAATCACAGCAGGAGGCCATCAATGAACTCATGGCCATCTTGACTCAAATCGTCGCAGACAAGGCCAAATCTCAGGAGACAGATTCGCCGCTTAGGCAAGAATCTTCCCAGAGAGGAAAAGCGTCTTCATCCCGACCTCACACAAGCAAAGGGAAGGGAAAAGTGGTTGATGATGCGGCTTCTGACCAAGAAGCCCACAGCCTGGAATCTTCCTCTGATGAAGGAAGAGAGACTGAGAATGAGCAGAATCTTCAGTCTGCCAAAATGGAAGAATTGGAAGCCCGTCTCAAAGCCATCGCTAATAGAAGCGAGCTTCAAGATGAGGGAGTTATCAGACCCTATCCTGCCGAATGGGATGCAGCCACTTATCCTCCAAAGTTCGAGGTCCCGACGCTACAAACTTTTGACGGTGCGGGATCACCAAACTAACATATTTATCATTTCAAGTCACAGACTGGAAATATAATATCAAACGATGCCATACTGGCTCGATTGTTCATTGGCACCCTCAAGGGAATTGCCTTTGAATGGTTCAGGAAACTGCCCGCGGGTTGTATCCAAAAGTGGGCGGATCTAGAGAGACTCTTCCTGTCAAGATTCTTTGAAGAGGATACAGAAGTCTCCATCCATACCCTTCTTGCTACTAAGCAGAAGAAGAGGGAGTCCGTCAAAGCCTATGTCAAAAGGTTCCGATCCATGGCTCTCCGGTGTTCGTCAGGTATGACACAATCTACCTTAGTAGAGACCTGTCGACACAACTTGCAAACCGACCTCCTAGCCCGAATAGGAGTTGCAGAATGCCGTTCTTGGAGACAACTAATCTCTCAAGGCGAGCAGGCTCAAAAAATCATTGCCAGGATCAAAGCTGAAGAACGAAGTAGACAGGATCAGCCCGAGCAATCAGACCAAGCCAAATCTTCTCCTGAGCAACTGGACCAGGCTTACTCTTCCCAGTCAGAAGGGAAAGATACTACGGCCACTGAAGTCAATCCTCTTCAGTAGGATGGCGGGGGCAACAACTATCATGTTAACAGTTACCTCTGATAGTCAAACTCATCAGATAATGGCCTACCAGGTGATGTGCCTCTATTCCGACTTCATGGATAGTACCACACTAGGTGATGTGCCTTGTCTACCTCTTTTTATTCCCCTGCTAAGT